CAGGATTCAGACTCCAGCTCTTGGATGCTGGTGCGCCTTCTGTTGACTTCAGCTGCCTAATGCCTGTATTTGGATGCCAAGAAGAAGGGTAGTTTGGGAATTGGAAAACCAGGTGTTTTTCTGTTAACATATTTGCTGTCGATTATAAAGGCAACATTCAATTGCCTGCTGTGCACAGTGCCAGGCACTGAGATCTTGACTCTTGGTCTTTCCAACCGCTGGTCAGAAGGGCTATTGTGAGCCTTCTTTGCCCATTGTCCGTGAGATCCTTACAGGGAAAATGAAGAAATGTGGGCCAAGGGACACTCCTTCCTGGAGTAGTAGGTGGCTTAGCAGAGTCACACCTCGAGCGTGCTATTCACCGGTCACTGTCATGCTGGGAAATGTATTGAGCTGCACACTTGGCCCTTTCCTCTTCCACGTTATAAATGAGGATTTGTAAGAAGAGTGGAATTAGTGGCAGGCTTCTCAAGTTTTCAGGTGGTAGATTTGGGAGGGAGAATAGTTACGTTATTGGGTCTGGATTCAGAAAGATCTCAACAGGCTGGACTTAATCCAACAAGATGACATTTTTAAAAGATACCTGTGGATAAACAGCCTGACAGCAAAGTGTATGAAATAAGAGTTAGGAGTGATGCAGCTATCAGAAATAAAATGTCTAGATTGGCTCTTCAGGTACATTAATAGGAGAATGATGTCCAAAACTGCTAGGAGCTGCTCAGACCCCACCTGTAACATTCTCCCTTCTCAGGTGCACAGCTCGGGAAGGACAGCAGGAGCTACAGAAGACTCAGAGCCCAGGAGGAACCATGAAAATGACATTTTGTGAGGAATGGTTGAAAAGACACCTGGGATTAGCCTGGAGAAAGATTTCAGGGAACAAATAGTTGGCCAAGTGTCCCAAGGAAGGGGCACTAGACTGGTTCAAGGTGACACCCAGAGGGCAGAAATCAGACTAGTGTACAGTCGTTACAGAGCAGCTCCGCACAGGGAGGACCTGCCACCTGGTGTGCACTTGGAAAGCACCGTCCACTCAGGGGCCTGCAGTGGAGGGGCCAGGCTTGGCGGCTGCTGTCTGGAGTGCTGAGACAGTGTCTACAGGCCCGGGAAGAGGGCTGACGGGGCTTAGCAGAGAATGCTGACCTGTAGCATTTCTTTCCTATCTTGGAATTTGTTACTCCGTCCCATTTTAGGGTCTAAGACCTGGGTCCCTCTGATGGAAATGATGATTCCATTGTTGGAAGGGGATTGATCCCCTTGGTGAAAATGACAGCTGTATCAGGGATGAGGGGGCTGCCAGAGCGGAGCTGTGCCTCAGTGTCCCGTCTGTGAATAGTTAGTGCACCCTGCTGTGCGCGCATGTGTGTGTGTGTGTGTGTGTGTGTGTGACCAACACTTTCTCATGAACCTGAATTGGCCATGTTAAGAACTGCTGTCTAGGAGTGCCTATCTGTTCTGTCCTGCTGGCCGCCTTAATTACCTTAAAAATTACCTCCTTTAAGTGATTTCAAGAAGAGCTTTGAAAGTAACTCCCAGTTATCCTGTCACTGATTGTTCTGTTTGTGGATTGTCCTGGCCCTTATATTCTTCAGGGCTTTTTTTTTATTGAGGTGAAACTCATGTAACATAAAATTAACCATTATAAAGCAGACGCTCGAGTGGCACTGAGTACATTCACGGTGCTGTGTGACCGCTACTCCTGTCTAGTTCCAGATACTTCATCACTCTGAAACAAAACTTCTGACCCACCAGGCAGTTATTTCCCCTTTTGTCTCCCCCCAGTCCTTGGCAACCAGGAGTCTTTACGGACAATCACATGAATAATTCATACAACATGTGGCCTTTTTTCTGGCTTCTTTCATTTGCATCATCCAGTTGCAGCATATGTCAGTACTTCACTCCTTTTTATAGCTGAATAATATTCCATTGTGTGTGTATATAACAACGTGTTTATCCATTCATCCACTGATGGATATTTGGGTTGCTTCCACCTTTCAGCTCTTGCAAATGGTGCTTGTAGGAACCTTCATATACAAGGATTGTTTGAGTACCTGTCTTTAGTTCTTTTGGATCTCCACCTACTAGTGGAATTGTTGGATCACATGGCAATTCTATGTTTACTATTTTGAGGAACCACCAAACTGTTTTTTATAGAGGTGGCACCATCTTACATTCCCACCAACAGTGCCCAAGGGTTCCAATTTCCATTTCACTTTGTCTTGTTTCGTTTTGCTATATACCCACCCTAGTAAGTATAAAGTGGTATCTCGTTGGGATTTTGATTTCCATTTCCCCAGTGACTAACGATCATCTTTGTTGATCATCTTTTCATATGCTTGTTGGTTGTATGTGTATCGTCTTTAGAGAAATATCTGTTGAAGTCCTTTGCCCATTTTTTGATTGGGTTGAGCCTGTCTGTTTTTGTTTGAGCAGTGTAAATATCGCTTTTTTAAAAAAAAATCTTAAGCCACCTATTTGCTGAGAACTTAGGCCACCTACTTATTAACTTGACACCTGCAATGAGGAGAGAGAACAGGGTGAAAGAGGCTGGCAAAGTGCCTCAGAAGGACCCAAGGGCTCTCGGAGAGCTGGCCCACTGTCTCTGTTCATATCTCTGTTCTTCAGGTCATCCTGCAGCTCTTAGCAAACAGATTCTAGGAAAGCCGTTCACATTTGTCTCTGGAAAGACTCAGGCTCCTGGGCCACAGGGTCTGCCCTTTCACCTGTGTTTCTTCTAGGTGTTGCAACACCCGGCAGGCCTCCTTTTGACTCTGACTCTGAGTGGGGGAAGTGTGCCCATGAGCCCTGACTTGCTGGCCTAAGGTCTGGAGGACAAGGCTTACAGCCTTACCCTCAGAGCAGGCTCTCTCTGGCCAAAGCTGAAAAAGCCGCAAAGGACCAGGAAAGGAGGGCTGGACGCTCCTTCATTGGGGCTGGGACAGGTGGGTGGTCAGGCCATGTCCCCTTGTTCCCTCTGGCTCCATTGCAAAGAAATGGAATTGTAGAAACCAGTTCTGCTTTGTCAAGCAGCACAGCCCCCTCAGAAATCAAAAACTGACTAATTCATCTTCATCCTGCACGAGGGGGGAAAATGCCAGGAACCCAGAGGCCCACTGTCCTGTTCCCCTGAGTAGATTTCCCACGAGACACCCTCCTTCTGGCTTTGGTGACATTGCCCAGCTGCTGACAGGATGGATGGTCCCAACCTGAGACAGTCTCACAAAGACAAGTAGGCCCTGCCTTGCTGTGTGGTTCAGTTCGAAATGATACCACCTCCCTGCAGTGTGAAATGCTCCAGAAGAGCCGTATTTCTGAGTCTGGGAAGCCTTTGTCTCTTCACGGTTTGCTTTTATTTTTCCTTATTAAAAGGTGTGTACTCCTTAGCCAGGGTTAACTGGCTAAGATTTATCAGGTAATAGTCAGATTTTACAAAGAAATGTTGGATGAAACGTAAGAAAGATTCTAGCAGAATATGAAGTTGCCCCAAACACACTCTCCCAGTGAGGTTTTTTTTTAATTGAGGTGAAAGTCGCATAACAAATTAATAATTTTAAAGCATGCAGTTCAGCGGCACCGAGTCCATTCACAGTGCCGTGCAGCCAGCCGTCAGCACCACGCACTGTGAAGACGTTTTCGTCACCTCCAGAAGAGACTGATGAAGCAGCAACTCCCCACTCCCTTCTCCCCCAGCCCCTGGCGATCGCTAACCCAGTTTCTGTCTCTGTGGCTGTACTATTCTGGATATTTCATACCGATGGAATTGTACAACTGTGACCTTTTGTGCATCACTGTTGTTGCTTTTTGAACACCCCCACCGCAACCTACTAAGGGCATAAACTTTTGAAATGTACAGAATAAATGAAAACTCCCTGCTCGAATTAACAGTTGAAATGTCCCACAAAAGTATTTTTCCATCTTTATAATGATGTGTCTACTCTGTCCAAAGCAGAGTGGTAGGTATTGCAGTGGACTCTGCCCATCAGGATGGACAGGCCCCAAGGGGAAGGGGGGAGGGGGGAGGCCTGAGGCTCCTGCAGGCTGCGTGCGGGACCAGGTGGAGGGGACAGCAGCTTGCACGTGGCCACGGCTCTGTGGGGCTGCAGGAAGGCCCAGCCCTTCCCCAACAGGGACTGCTCAAATCAGCCTCAGAGGAGCCGCTGCCTCTGACCACACCTTGTGTGCTTCAGGAAAACCCAAGTTCATCTGCCAAATTCAGGATACAACCCTGACTGTTCCGGGCTTTTCTTTCTGCCTTTCCCTAATCGCATCTGGGCGTGCTCTCTTAAAGGGGAAGTGGTGCGTTCTGACTGGCCAGGGCCCTCCTCCAGGAGCCAGGAAACGGCTCCCACAAGTCACATTGCCCAGCGTGTCACAGGCTCAGCCTCCTTATCCTAACGGCAAGGCTGCCTCCCGGGATGTGTAAGTGTGAGCACAGGGCATGTTGGCCACACAGGATGGCGTGGGGCTGGGCCCAGGTCACAGAAGAGAGTCTGGCAGGCGGAGCATGCTGTCAGCCCACGATCCAGTTAGCGAGCCTGAGCTTTAGCAGAGACGGTGCTCCTGGGCTGCGAGCTGGTGCCAGAGCAGAGAGGGCTGAGGTGTGGAGTGGGGAGAGGCACTGCCTCAGAAAGAGGTCAGGAGTAGGAGGCTGCATTGGGGACCAGTGTGTTCTGGACAGCCTTTCTGGAGGCACAACTCTTGGGGCCTAGGAAGGAATGGAGTGGAAAATTTTATAGCACACCTGTGGTAGCACCAGGAAGCCAGCTGGAGTAAACCTTACCACCTTGTCACCCCCCACTGCTCTGCCTTTATGTGCAGTTCCAAGTACCTGCATTTCTCTCTTTGGCAGTTATTTTTCTTTGTCATTTTTATGTGATATGTGTTAAATGTTTCAGGTCTCTCTTAGTCAAACTTTAAAATTGCTTGAAACTAGTGGCCTGTGTTTTTCCTCCTGTCCTGTTCGTGGATGGTCCTGGGTCCAGTGTGTACATCACTGGGCCCTGAGTGAACCATGGTGGCCAGCCACCGGCAGACTGGCTGGCTTGGTGGGATGACTGGCAGTGTACCTGGCCTGGTTGCTAACTCGGGTTTAGTCTCCTGTATGCCCACGGAGAAATTAAGGGGAAAGCCCACACACATGCACACAAGCAGTCAGTGCTCACTCAATGCCACAAGTGAGTGACTGGTAGGAAAACAGACCAATCCTATATTTTATACTCCTTTCTGCACCAGGTACTTGTTTGCATGGTGTTGATAGTTGGTCTTAAATCATGTAAAAAAAATCTCTGTTTTCATCAAAATAACTCAGACCTTTTGCTCCTACAGAAGAAGCAGAGAGAAACTGGAGGGGGCGGGGAATGTGTGCGTCTCTGTTGGCTTATATTGACAGGGCACAACCACACCCTGTTTCAGACAACTTCCTGTTTGCCACTGCCAACTGCCACTCCAAAGAGAACAGAAATGGTTCCGTTATTAGTGGCTGCTGTGGGACCACGATAGCCTGTGGGGTGAGTGGTTGTGACACTGTGGGCCTAGCAGTGAGTAAGACTTTGCACCTTCTATTGTAGGAGATAATGGCCCTGCAGTCTTGAAATTGGAGGTCGGTACAGATAGAAATCAAGCAGCAGTGGCCTTTCCTTGCTCAGCTTGTGTTCCTTAAACAGTATGCTCCAGGATCTCGTAAGTGAAATAGTTTTAATTCAGGGGCAAGGAGAAGGCAGAGAACTGCCCACTTAGGAGAGCTACTACTTGTGTTCTGTTTCAGTGTACCTTTTCAAGTATTTGGGGAGCTTATGTGAAGTGCCTGTTATGAGTTGGCATTGTGGTAGCCACCGTCCACATGTTATCAATTTTTACAGCACTCATTTCTTCAACAGTGAAGACAGGGTGAGACCCTGGGCTAAGAGCCAGGGATGAGAGACTGAACAAGACACCTGCCTTCAAGGAGCGTTCAGTGACAGGATGCCTGGCCCAGAAACCAACAGTCATAATATGTGACGTGAGCTAACATGTGGCCCTCACTGTACGGCAGGGGCACCTTCCCACTTGTAACCTTGATGTAGGCATTATTGTTCCCATTTTTGTAGGCAAGGAAACTGGAGCTCATGGGGTTAAGTTACTTGCCCAAGTCACAGAGCTAATGAGTGACAGAGCTGGGATTTGAGCCCAGATCTTTCTGATTCCAAAGACCGCAGTGTTTGGTCCCTATTTCTCATGACTCCCAAAGCTAAGAGCATGAGAATCACCTTGGGACCTTCTTTTTTTTTTTTTCCCCCGTTAAGTTTTTTTTTTTTTAATTTTTTTTATTATGCTGTTACAGTTGTTCTATTCCCCCCCTTCATTCCCCTCCACCCTAACCCCCCCCAGTCCCCACCATTACCCCCCTTTAGTTTATGACCATGTGCCTCAAGTTCTTTAGATTCTATATTTCCCATGCTATTCTTGCCCCCCCATCTATTTTCTATCTACTGTCTATGCTACTTATTTTCTGTACCTTCTCCCCCCTTCTCCTCCTCCCACTCCCTTGTTGCTAACCCTCCTTGAGATCTTCATTTCTATGTTTCCACTCCTGATTTGGCTGTCCTTTTAGTTTGCTTTTGTTTTAGGTGTGGTTGTTAATAACTGTGAGTTTGTTGTCCTTTCACTATTCATGTTTCTTTAACTTTGTTTTCTTAGATAAGTCCCTTTAACATTTCATATAATAAGGGCTTGGTGATGATGAACTCCTTGAATTTGATCTTATCTGAAAAGCACTTTATCTGTCCTTCCATTCCAAATGAAAGTTTTGCTGGATAGAGCAATCTTGGTTGTAGGTCTTTGGATTTCATGACTTGGAATACCTCTTTCCAGCCCCTTCTTGCCTGTAAGGTCTCTTTTGAGAAATCTGCTGACAGTCTGATGGGAACTCCTTTGTAGGTGACTGTCCCCTTAGCTCTTGCTGCTTCTAGGATTCTCTCCTTCATTTTAATTTTGGCTAATGTAATTCTGATGTGCCTTGGTGTGTTCCTTCTTGGGTCCAACTTCTTTGGGACTCTCTGAGCTTCCTGGATTTCCTGGAAGTCTGTTTCCTTTGCCAGATTGGGGAAATTCTCCTTTATTATTTGTTCAGATAAGTTTTCCACTGGTGGCTGTTCCTTTCCCCCTTCTGGTACCCCTATAATTCGGATGTTGGAGCGTTTAAAGATGTCCTGGAGGTTCCTAAGACTCTCCTCATTTCTTTGAATTCTTGCTTCTTCACTCTTTTCTGTTTGGCCATTATTTGCTTTCTTCTGGTCCACTCCGCTGATTTGAGTCCCATTTTCCTTTTCATCGCTATTGTTTGCCTGTGCAATTCCATTCATTTCAATTAGTTTCGCCTTCATATGTTTGTCTAATTTGTGGCTATAATCAACCAGTTCTGTAGGATCCTGATCACCAGTGTTTTAAACTGTGCGTCTGAGAGTTTTGCTACTTCTTCATCGCTTAGATTTATAGGCTCTGGGGCTTTGAGATGTTCTTGAGCCATTTTTGGTCTGTTCGCGCTCTTTAAGTGTGAGGAGTGGGGCCTTGGACTCCCAGGTCGCTGGGTTGTGACGCTGTATGTGGGGGCGTGGCCAGAGCGGGGAAACGGCGACCCCCTCTGCTGTTTTGTGCTGCTGGGTGAGGAGCAGAGTCTTAGGTGGTTCACCTGGGCCGGGCCACTCAGAGTCGCTGGGTTATGACGCTGTATGTGGAGGTGGGGTCAGAGCAGGGAAATGGCGGCGCCCTCCCTGCCGATTGCTGCGGACCCGCTGGGTCCCGGTCCAATCGCCCACTCCCTCGCCTGTCTATCCGCGCACAAATGCGCGACCACAGTCAACACGCAGCCCTGCTCCCTCGCTGTTTCCCACGAGGTGGCTCACTCGGTCGCTCGCTTGGTCACTCACTAGGTCCCACCCAGCGCCTGGATTCCTCGCACCTGAGTTCATCTGACCAAGTTTTCCTGTGCTACCCCGCTCTGCCACCTGCTGGTTTCGCCCCTTATCAGTCAGACTGAAGAATTTGTTGTTAACAGACTTCTGAAAAGTTCAATTTTCTGTGTTCTGGCTGTGTTTTCTGTTCCTAATATTTAGTTGTCTCTAAACTTGGTTGTGTGAGAAGGCACGGCAAATCCACCTATGCCTCCGTCTTGGCGGAAGACCTTGGGACCTTTAACAAAATACCGATTTGGGGCCCCTAGACCTACTGTCCCAAGAGTGAGGAGCCCTCTGCTGCACCGGGTGGCCTCTGAGGTGTAAGTGTGGTCTGTGTTCTTTCTCTGCCTCATGCGTAAGGATCCTCCCTCCCTTCCTTGAGGTGCGGGCAGGGCATGCCTGTGACAGGGACAGGGCTTTTTAATGTTCTTAGCTTAAGGCCCCTGGGTAAAGGCCACTGATACTGCTTGTCTCAAGATAGTATTGGGAAGAGTCAGTCTAGCTGTTCAGACATTTTAGACATTGAGAAACTCTGTTCATGTATCTTCATCCCAAAGATCCCTCAGACTGTGCCTCCTTCTTGGTGAAGCTTTGGCTTCCTGGTACACCTGTCCTTTTGGTGCCCCTAGTGCCAGGGTGATGTCAGCTGTGCCATCCTCAGGTAGAGTCCAGCAGCTATTCCTAAAAATGGAAGCCACCACTTTTTACCTAAGTTGTGGTGGCTCCTGTGTTTAAACTCTTGTGACTTGCACGATGCGTACGTCGGGCGGTTGTGATGGGAGGTCACTGATGGAGAAGTTCATGCCAGAGGAATTTCTTGTCAGCCCCTCCACTCTACTTTGGTTCTGGACATGTGGGAACAGCTGGGGCAATAAAAAGCCTCATGATCAGAGGATTGCAGAGTCCCACAAAGCAGGAGGGCTATTCATTGGCCTCAGATCCTTCTGGCAACAGCTTGCCTCCTGAGGGGTAGCCTGCTCTCCACTGCTCAGGGTGACTACGTGCGGCCAGCCCAAGATCTGGGGAGTGTCTCCTGCCCCCAGGGGAACCCTATGCAACACCAGTGTCTCTTTTATCACCCCATTTTATCTCAGTGCCTGGAGCATGGTAAGTTCCAGGGAAATGAGTAAATGAGATTTGACTTTAACATACTTTTTTCTTTCCTTCCTACCTTTGTATTTGCACCTTTTTTTCCCCTTTGCTCTCTCTGATTAAGCGTGTGATAATAATGATTTTTGTTGTTGTTCATTGGTTCGTTCTTTCTTTGAGAGAGAGAGAAAAAAACATCAATTTTTGTTGTTCTGCTTGTTTACGCACCCGTTGGCTGACTCTTGTGTGTGCCCTGACAGGGCATCAAACCCACAGCCTTGGCCAATGCGACATCACTCTGACCAACGGAGCTATCCAGCCAGGGCTGTTTGTTTTTTATCTTTTTCTTGTAAGGACTTAAACAGCTTTAACAAAAACAAAGCCTATTAAGCAATCCATCCAATATCCTTCCCTTTTTTTCATTTAAATACATGATATGTATAGTATATGTGTATGAGTGTTTTATGTTTTTATAAAGTAATGATTAGTATTAACATATTTTTGTGGTAGTTTTAATCGTGTTTTTCTTTCTCGTGTGTCCGGATTTTCGTGTATTAGGGGAGCTTATGTGAAGTGCCCGCTGTGAGTTGGCACTGTGGTAGCCACCGTCCTGTGTTATCGGTCCTCACACCACGTCCACAGTGAAGACAGTGCGTGCCTCTCAGGGTGAAACTCTGGGCACGGAGCCAGGGATGCGAGACTGAATGAGGCACCTGCTCTTGACTTTCCCTTAAATTTGCGATCACCCCCATAGCTCTCCTTTTCAGTTGTTTTATTATAGACCATTCAGGTTGATTTTGGCGTTTTGTTACTATTGTAAATAGTGCTGCTGAGAATGCCTCTGAAATTTTTTGGAGGAGGGGACTATTTCCTTGGGGTCTGTTTTCCAGACTAAAATGACCAGATTACCAAATCAAGGCTGTAAGTGTGTTTGAGTTCCAGTTGCTGTTGCCAGGTTGCTCTCCAGAGAAATGCCATCCCTTCAAAGTATCCACAGCGTGTGTACATGTTTCCCCCCAAGTCTGTATTTACTGTTCTTGTTTATTTGGTTGGTTGGTTTGTTGGTTGTTTGGGTTTAGGTTGGTTTTTTTTTTTTTTTCAGCTAAGTTAGGTGTCTAGTCAGGACATTCTTAGGGGCTGTGGCAATATTTGGGGCGTCCCAGACAGTTCCTGGGCCTCCCCAGATCCTACTTAATGGTGATTGGTGCCCCAAATTTGCACCTGAGCATAAATAACCAGTAGAAGAGGAAGCGTGAGGTGGAATGTTTCTACCAAGGGGAAGAGATCAGGAGAATCCCATGTTGCTAACTTCAGAGTTATATTCTGGGCCAGCTCTGAAAATGGGGAACGCTTTGTGAGGAATCATTGAGAGGTTTTTTGCTAAAGTGCAGGGGAAAGAGAACATCCTCCCAGTAGTGTGGCGTGGTAGAAATGGTACTGGCTCCAGGGCCAGGCAGGCCTGGGCTCTTCTCCCAATTGCTCTGTGT